AAAGCTAACAAAAAGACCATGGAACCATGCATATTAGGCCAATGAAATATTGAACAGTCTTAATCCTTTATTTGCCAATGTTTGATGATGTAATCTCAATATCTGTATAACTAATACTAATATCTCTTTCAAAGGCAATTTTTCTTTGATTAAACAGCTTTCTAGAAGTAGCTGAAGAAGACACATGCCTAGGCCAGCTTCCCAAATTCTAGGTTTATTTTCTTACACGTTTTTCTGCAGTAGCTTGGAGCGGAGATAGGTCACAGCAAAGCTGTTTGTTTACTCACTAGGTCACAAGATGACAGGGATGAAGAAAAATGGTTGATAATAATGGCACAGCAGGTTTCGGGAATAAAGCAGCAATCAAGATTGCCCTCAGCTCTACCACTGCGGAGTTGTAGTTGGCTCTCTGTTCTCTCCAGAACAGCAACCCCCAGACTCAGACCTCCTTCCATGTTCCTTTCTCCAGGCGGGCAAACAGCACCCTAACTCCCGGGGCTCCTGCAACAGCTGTCATAGTCGTCGGCCACTAGAGGCGCTCTGTTCTGTTTTGCAATAACACTCTGGTCTTTTGAGTAGAAATTTCCAAATTAGCCCTCCCCCCCACACACACACATCTTCTAGCAGAGAGAGAGAGAGAAAAAAAAAAGAAAAAAAAGAAAAAGGCAGAATTATTTTTAAAAGGGTGTTTACTAGAAAGTGGATGGTGGGAACAGCAAAAAGTACAAAGTCATAGATGTAGATTATATCAGGGAAGACAAATTCTTAATGTAACTCAGATCTGCTTCCGGAGAAGCCTATAGTGGTATGGGTGCTAAACCAAGCCTCGGGGCCCCTGGATGAGGTACCTTACAGATACAAAAACTCTTGGCCTTCTCCTTTCGTCTCCTATCTGGGAAGCTTTGCTGCTGGGTCAGAGGAATTTCCACTGCCCTTCTCACAGCTCCAGACTCGCAGGACAGGAAGGTGCTACTCCCTCAGGCCCAGAATTCAACATCTGGATTTAGGCCTTCCGGTGCCTACCTCACAGACGACTTCCTGTGCCCTTTCAGTGAATCTTTGAGGCCCACTGATTGTCTAGTCATCGGAGGCAGTTCATTAGGGAAATGTCCAGACTCGGCCTTCCCCAACCTGGATGCCCAGCTTTTATCCTCAGCCATTCCAGACATCTAATTTTCAGTCATTTGAATCCACGTTTCCAGTCGTGTACACCTGCGTGTCCCACCCTGTGTCTTCACTTTCTTTACTACAGTCACCGTTCCTATGTTTTGGCTAGTTCCTATCCTATTCTCACAAATGGACAAAAGGCCACAGACATCAGATAGCATGATATGAGAGGCTACCTCACATCCGCTTCCCTCTTAGGCACAAAAATATATTTTCTGTGCCTCAAAGTCCCCAGGCCCAAACCTCTGCCTCTTTACCTGGACTTTCACTTAATTTCCATCCTGCACTTAGAAGCATCTCTAACTGAAAACTCATTTGCAAAGCCTAGGTAATTGGCACGCTCCAAACCCAATGATTGTTCATGCCACACTGCCTCAGGTTACCCGCTCCCCTCAGCCCCAAGTACTCTCTGGGCCCCTCCTCAGGGAGTGATCTTACATAATCCTAGCCATTACAGTTTACAGCATCTAAATACCTTAACCATAGCTTAACAATAAGACATACAATAAGAGGAGAGTGGATCACTCACACAAGCTCTTACAGGAAAACAGGCAGCTCTCTCCCTGGTAAGAAAAATATGGGTCTCCACCCCACCACAAAAAAAAATCCCAGGATGCCCCAGAATGCAGTTTCTTTTCTTCATGACGTGTTGTGAAACACGTCAGCTGCTCCTTGTTGCTGTGCAGATCATCCAACATCGGGTCACAGAGAGAGACGGCAGCGCTTGCTCACACAGCTGATAGGATTAGAAGCCCGTGCTTTGTCAGCCCTGATTGAGGCCAAGACAGCCCCAGCAAACGCAGGTGAGGTGCAAGGGAAAGAGATGTAGTGTGTAGGACTGTGAGGTGTCATGATTGTATGCTGCAAGTGTTTCTCTTTGGCAGTGCCTCTGTATTGTCTTTTCTATGAAGTTTTTAGTGTGGGGGATCTGGGGTCTCTGTCAGTAGAAACCTGACCTTTGTTACTCATCTGATATAAACAGTAGTAGGCCACTTACATGTCACAGGATTTTTGTGAGACTCACTTAAGATTATATTATGTGAGAGGGCTCTGAAATTGTAAAGTTGTCTGCATGTTAAAAGTATAGCTCATTTAATTACAAATTTCACACAAAGAATTCCGAGATCTGGGAAGTAAGTATATAGACTTTCCTTTCCTTCCAATCCATAACATCTTATCTCCTGGATTTCTTGCTAAGCGTGGGGAGGTATATTATTCACAATCTCTAAGGGTTCAACCTTCCAAAGCAGTTGATATTTTCTAAAAATCCAAGAAACTCTTTTTTAATTCTTCTTCAAGAAAACGACACAAAAATTACAAAACAAGACAATAAAGTGCTTGAGTATAAAATGAAAATGCTGCACAATAATGGGCAGATGAAAGATGAATAGCCTAAACTATATTAGATTATATCTCTTTGATGCTGTAATTCAAATGTTATATTTCTCCTAACGACAAGAGCAACATTTGAATGAAATTAAAGGCAACAGATAGGATCATTTGAAAAAACTTGCCTTTTAGAACAGCAGAAAATCAGGCTTGGTTTCCAAAAGTACAGAGAAGAGCCATCTGAACAGTAAACCATCAGCCTTTCCCTCGGTAAGGTTGCTATGGTGACAGCAAGGCTACTGCACAGCCTCTCAGTGGCTGCACTTCTGCAGTAAAAGCTTTCACTGAACACATGTTGGATTTTTAGGCACACATCCCGTCATTGACTACAAACATATTGGAGGAAGCTTTATCTGAGTCATTTGCTAAACAGAAGTTGCATCTATGTTCTTCATTCTTTACCAGTAGGCCCTATATGGGGTTGTGGAATTCATTCATTTAGGCATTCATTCACTTGGCTGTTAGGCATTGGTGCTACTGTATGGAAGGAACTGTGCCAGGTACTGCCTACAGTCCACGATAAAGAAAAGTGAGTGGAGAGTTCTGAAATAGGATCATAGCAGTGCCTCTAGGGTAAGCACAGGTGTCCTGGGGGGAGATCGGAGAGGTTTCCTGGAAGAAGCTGTCTAAAATTAAACTTGCTGTCTTTCAGAGTGGAGAAGGATGGGTGATTAGAGTGCAAAAATGTAAACAGGGGGACCAGCAGTGTGCAAAAATCTAGAGGGAAAAGAACAGGAAACCTCCAGAGTATTGAAGGACTACAGTCTGAACAGCAACCATTTGCATGTGGAGGAAGAGCAGATGCTGAGGGGTGTGAGGAGGGCAGGCAGCACCTGCAGAGGAGGAGTGGTAAACAGCAGCCAGACCTTGAAGAGCTGAGGTGATGTCTTGGGGGGGGGGGGAATAATACCTGCAGGACAAGAGGGAGTTATTAAGGAGTTTGGTGGGGTGGCATGGCTTGACTTAGCTGTGCATAGAACAGGGCTGAGGATTAGCTTCCTGTCAAACACTTTCTTGGCAGAGTGATTACTTAGCAAGCACAAGGCCCTCTGATTCTGCGTTCAGTACTACCAAAACACAAACAAACATCACCAAAACAAACAGGAAGAAAACATTCAAATCAAATAAAGTCAAACAAGTCTGTGAGAAATATCTTTTCCATAAAAGCTTTGTGTGTGTGCAAAGACTGTGATTATACTGACTGTAGTTCAAGTTTCACCATCCTGTTTGCACTGTGTGTGACTGGTTAGAAAAAAAATATGGGTGAGACTGAAAATGATAACTCCAGTTGGCCCACTATTGAGCAATGGACTCCAAATGAAAATACCAAATGATAGCTAGAATAGTGGACCAGAGTGGTCATACTCAAATCCTGCTACCAGGGTAGCCTGGAGGCCTTGGTCACTATGAATGGCTACATTGGTCACTGTAGCAGAACAGGGAAGCAAGAGAGAGGTTTGGAGAACAACATCAGAACTACCTCTTAGATTCTGATCTGAACAACTCTGTGGACAGTTTCTGCCATTAGGTCCCTACAACCAATTTTCAGTTCTCAGAGAATGCAGAAGCAATTCTTAATTTCCGTAGTTCAATCCTATCTCATCATTTACAACCCCGGGGCACATGATTTTAGAAATAATAAGTTGTATGAATCCTCTTGGGCTGTACCTTGGTGAGGTCTGTGGTTGCAAGAGTTAGAGGCTTAGAAAGGTTGAGCTAGTCACCTCTTCTGCCCCAGAGAATCCCAAGATTATGTCTCTGTTAAGTAGATTGAAAGGAGATAATGATTTGTGGAATACAATCTCCTGGGATTTCAGGAAGCCAACAAATTGATTCCACTAATCCTCCAACTTCAGGATTTCTGTAAACTCAGTGCATTCCTGGGTTCCAGAGTTGGTGTTCAAAGGAATGCAAACAGGATGGTGAAGCTTGAAGTACAGTCAGTATAATCACAGCCTTTGCACAGAGGACCCCGGGATGTCAGGATGAGACTGACCACTGCTCACACTGCTTCCTAAACATTCCCTACCTGAGTAAGAGGTGTGGAAGTCCTTTTACATGTTGGAAATCCATCACCAAATAAGACTTGAGCATAGCATAGCACTACTGTCAACCATCTGTTCTCAGAGACATTTTGAGCTTTCTAAACATCTTTGTCTGCACCACAAATGCTTTTTCTGCCGGTCATGTAAAAGATACCTGCAGAAATTGGACCACCTGGACCTGACCTAGCTGCCCTTTGGAAGGTTCGTTGTCAGTTGGACACAGCTGTTTTGTTTTCCTCATTTATCCCTCCCAGCTGCCCTTAGGGTGGACATTATTATCCCTCGTGTTAACAAGGAGCAATGTGAAAGAGTCTCAGCTTGAAGGGACTGGTGTGCTGGCTTCATCTTGATTTCCCCAGTACAGGTGTGTTGGTCCTCCCCGCCCCCTACATCGTGTACCTGAGCCTCCTTCACTTTGTAGTCAGGCGGCAGTTGTAGAGCTAGGGACGAGTCTGCGTGCGCTGTGTGTTTTTCGGGCTCCTGCCTCCTGGTGTCAGCTGTGCTTCACTGCCACCTTAGGCCCTTCTGACGCAAACCCCTCCAGGGGGAACCGCAGCCTCGGAGGTGCTGCAACCCAGATGCCAGATCAGTCCTGTAGCATCGGCTCGGCTGGGTTTCAGGACCAGAAGCCACTGCCACCACCCTCGGGCGAGGTCATTGTAGAGAGTCATAGGCTGTGTTAAAACCTAGAGGTCACGGAGGGACAGCGAGTGGGGAGGGACTTTTTCCCTTTCTCCATCTTGGCCATCTGATGTCGCAGCTTTTCTCAGCCTCTCCATTCGACTAGCACCCCCTGCCAATCCCGGAACAGGGGCCACCTCTGGGTTGGCGATAATGCGAATAAGCCTCCGCCTGCCCGCAGTGGGTCGGGCTAGGCTGGAAAAGGAGGGGCCCTGGGAGCGGGACGTGGCGGGCGACCTGGTGGGTGCGGCGCTCCGAGGTGCCAGGCAGCTGATCCGGGCCGCAGGTGAAGGCGGCGACTAGGAGGTGCCTCCCTCCGGAGCGGCCTAGAGCGGCGGCACCACGTCCCCCGCGGGCGGGGCGGGGCGGCGGGCGCGCCCTCGGAGCCCAGGGCGGCCGCCGGCGGGGACGCGGCGAACCCGCTGTTGCGGCGCCTCGCGGCCGGGAGCTCAGTGCAGTCTCCTCCCTCGCTCCGTGCTCACAGGTGCCTCCTCCTGGACGGCGGCGGCGGCGGCGGCGCGGGGAGCCGGCAGGCAGTGTCGAGATGGGGCCCCTCCGAGAAAGCAAGGTAAGGGGGCCGACGTGGTGTGCTGTGCGGGCACGGTGACAGGGTCCGAGGGTGCTTCAGTAAGAGACGAGGTGGGTCCAGCTTGCCTAGTAGAGGGCCAGGTGAGAGATGGATCCTGGCGTTCAGAGTCCAAGCAAAGAGGAGACATAGGTGCTGGGTACAGCAGGGAAGCAGATGGTCATCTGAGGGTTACGGGATGTGTGGCAGATGGGGAGGTGGCACCTACAGGAAGAGGTTTGGGGGGATTAATATAAGGATTTAGAAGATTGACTTTAGAGGGTTAATCCTAGCTCCTGAAGCTGTGGCTTGAGGTGAAGCCTTTAGCTAGTGTCATGTGTTTGCCTGAGTGTGTGAGATGCAAAAGGAATTCGGTGTATTCATGACTGAGAAATAAGGACTGCAGCGTGACAGTGACCCAGCTCAAGAGTCTGCAGTGTGCCAAGCAGAGTGGCTGGCGCGGGATACCTGCTGGGTGACTGATGGGCTGGACAGATTTAGAGGCTGGGTGTGGCTTGCTGCCCCAGGATGGCATGGATGCCTGAGGCAAGTTCCGGGCTGCAAGGGGTTTTCCCTGTGGAGGCCTCTCTAAGGTGTTCTTGGGCCTTGACCCTTCCTGGTAAGCCTAGGAAATAAGCAGCAGGTCATGTTGGGAAGATGGCATTTGCTACTTTAGCCAGAGCTGCCTTTCAGTTACAGAGGTTGGAAGGAACTGTGGAATTTTTGCAAAAAGAAAAAAAAAAAAAAGAAAAGAAAGAAAGAAAACTCTTCCAGGGAATCCAGTTTAGCAAGGCAGAGTAGCGGCGACCCTGAAAAGAGGTCTGTCTAAAGTTCTCTCTTTTAGATGATGTTCCCTATGGATGAACTTCAATAAGTGTCTATGCTGCATTTTGGGGTTTAGAGATCCATTAAATGAGCTAATGGTGATGACAGAACTTAATATTTTCTAGCATCTACTTATTTTGAGGGAGGGAGTGTAGGTGCCACAGGAAGTGTGGCAATCAGTGAAAACCTTCCAGGAGTCCTCTTCCACCATGTGAGTGAGTCCCAGGGCTTGAACTCAGGTGGGCTGGATTGACTATCAGCACCTTTACCTACTAAGCCATCTTGGCTGTCAAAAAGAAGGACTTTTAAACTGAAAACATTATTAAAACATAGTCCTTACGAATTTTTAAAACCAAAGCATAGGAAGGTGTTAAAAATGTATTTTTAAATGAGAATGTTTTTTCTTCTCATGGTTGTCCTTTTGGTAAAACAAAAGCTAGTTGTGATGTAAATGGTGGAGCCATTTTCCTGGGTATTGAATGTGTTTGCTCTTCTGTTGGCAGCAAGCCTTGTGTACCAGGATATTAATGAATAATTAAGACACTGTCCGGAAGAGGAGGGATTTTAAAGATAAGTGTTTGTGAGCCATTAGAAAAGGATTGTTCTAGGCATACAGGTCTAGTGTGTGAGGAGACAGAAAAACAGAATTGAAATGGTTAGCTAATTCAGGAATAATGCAGGAATCTAAGGAAAAAAGAAAACCAATAAGCTGGGGTGCACTGTTAGAGCCTTTGAGAACCTCAAGCTTGAATGTGATTGAGAAAGACAGAATGAGAAGATGAGGTAGGAAGGGCTTAGAGGTGTGGGATGGCATTTATGATAATGGTGGTGTGTGTGTGTGTGTGTGTCTGTGTCTCTGTGTGTAGGAGTATATGTGTAAAGTGTGTGTATGAGGATGAGTGTTGTGTGAGTGTGAGTATGTGTGTATGAGACTGTGAGATCGAGTGTGTGCAAGTTATGTGTGTGTATGACTTGTAGACTTGCACTTGGGCTATTCATAGCGTCAAAAGGGAGTTTAGTTCATGCACTGAGATACAGACTGCTGGACTGTTCCAGGAGAACTCAGTGCTCAGAAAAACTGAGCCTTGCAGGGGCAGAGAGAAAATGATCGTTTTCCTTTGGCTTTCCAATTTGGAGAAGGAGCAGAGAGTGCCGCATCAGGAGAAGGAGCTTTCCAGGAGCCGGATTCCGCGGTTGATTCTGCGGCCCCATCTGCCACAGCAGCAGCCGAGCAAGGTTTCCCCAGCCTCTGAGTCCCCCTTTTCGGAGGAAGAAAGTAGAGAATTCAACCCCAGCAGCTCTGGACGCTCAGCGAGGACAATTAGCAGCAACAGCTTCTGCTCAGGTACACTAACCCTGTGCACCAGCATGGCAGGAAGGTGTGGCCTGCGGGGAGACTGTGCCCGAGACCTCTCAGCTCTTAGAAGGGGGCTTCTCCCATCCTGACCCTCTCTGGCTGCTGTAAGCTACCAATGCAGCAGTTTTCCATGGTTCGGAGCAGTTACATTTCTTATCATTTAGAATATAAAATTCAACTTCTTTTTTCTATAACTTTAAAAGAGTGTTCTTTTATTTTTAATCTAAAAAGTATATTAGCTTGGGTTTTATACTAGCAACCTCTATAATTCTATGTACTTTTGATTATGAAATAACCCAAATAAAATAACTTCTAACAAATGAAGTCAAGAACAAGGAGATTAGACTGCAAGCCTGACCTTGTGGGAAAGAATAACAGGGTTATTACCAGCCCGACCTGATTCCCAGGATGGGCCAGAATCTCAGACCTGTCTCTTAGATGCTGTGTGATCTTGATCAAGTTACTTAAACCTGGTGAACCTCAATTGTTACAGCCATAAAATGGGTCAATAAATACTGGTTGAGGATTCTTTATCTGAAATGGATCCAAAAATGTTTGCAGTTTTAGAGTTTTCAAATTTTGGACTATTTGTATGTCTGTGTGTGTGTGTATGTTTGTGTGTCTATATCTATATGTGTATATATACATACATATATATTGGTGATAGGAGCAAAATATAAACACAAAATTCATTCATGATTCATACATATTTAATATATATATTCCAAGGTTTTTTTTTTAAGGTGCCAAACTTTTGCATGTAATCTGTTATGTGAATTTAGGTATGCATATTTTTTACTCATGTCCCATGGCCTTATGTCAATGCTAAAAAAGTTCTCCATTTTACAGCATTTGGGATTTGTGTGATTTGTGTTATGGAGGCTTAACTATACTTCTTTTGTTGAGCTGCTGAAAGACTCATTGGGACCACTCACCTAAGTGAATTGCTAGTATGGAGCCTCACTTCTGAAGATTGTTAATATCTGATAGGTCTTAATGTCATGAACTAGGGTTGCCTCTTTAGCATAAAACTAAGAAATTTGGTTTTTTTATGTTTTGTTTCTTAAGGTTAGAAGCATCTTTTCAGGACATAGATTCCTTCATAGCTCTTCAAATGCCACTGGTACCAGTGGACAACTCCTGTGTTACTGAAGCATATAACTGAAAAAGACATCTTTTTAAAAGAAATATTAGGAATTTGGGTAAAATTCAAAGGACTGACTGTCTTATAAAGGATGTTTTGTAATGCACATTTTTAAACTTACTAAAAGAACAAGGATAAGATGGGTGAGTGAATCTGTGTGCTATGATCAATCGCCAAGTGCCTTGATAAAGTAATGATTTTATCTCATACATAAGTTATATTTTAGACATGTAGCTGTCTACTGTTGAAATGTTTCACCTCTATGAAGTCTCAGATCTCTGCTTCACTCTAAAGAAGATGCCACAATGTTATATTCTGAAATGTATTTCCTTCCATTAGAATGCACAAATGTAGTTAAAGAAAACTCACTTGTGGCTACTTAGTACTCTCTTGAAGAGGATGACTACAAAGCTAGTGGACCGGTGGTTGTTTACTTAACCACCATTGTGGGGTTCAGAACTCATTTTGATTGAGAGTGCATGGGGCATGACTTTCAGCTTCAAGTGTATAGCTAGACTCCACGCTTACTCCTTACAGCCTTTTTTACATACTAACGTTCTGTGTGACTGACTCCAAGGTGAGTATTTGTCAGAAGGTAAGTAGTTAGTCAAAACAACAGAAAAGTGAACAAATACATATCACAAAACATAAATGCAGCCCAATAAAACTGTTAACTTTGGTTATGAGTCAGTCTTTCCCAGACTCATTTCCAGAACCATCCCTTCTTCCCTAAGGACCTGATTCTCATGATGGTAGACATGAAAATCGAAAGGAGATATTGATCTTTCTGTCATTAACTAGCTGAGAATTGAGTGGCAGGCACACATAATTATGAGTGTCTACAAACCGGCCTTCCAGTCCTTAGCCTGTGTCTCATCTCCAGATCTGGAGTCCCTCCCTCATCTCTCTCCAGCTTCCAGTGCTGCAAATTCCCCAAGGTTTGGGTCTGATGCCTTCCCCTGTCTTATTTTCCTGTTCTGCACAGCACTGATGAGCTCCACAAAGGCTTCTGAGTGCTGTGTTGACTGAAATTGACAGCAGCAAGGCCTTTGGGGCATGTTAATGATGCTTTAGGAGGTCAGTCGGGCGGGTGGAAAATAAATGGGTTTGGTTCTATGGGGAGCATTAATGCTGTAGGCAGTGAGGTAGAGAATGTAAAACATGTCCAGCCAGCAGGGGGAATAGCTGGTTTTAACCCAGACAGTGGACTACCGAGGCCAGAATGTATACTGCCTAGTCAGAACAGTTCAACAGACAACAGAACA